GAGAGAGAGAGAGAGAGAGAGAGAGAGAGAGAGAGAGAGAGGTGTCAACCAAATAGAGGATTATTTTATCACTCAGTTTCTCTCTCTCTCTCTCTCTCTYTCTCTCTCTCTCTCTCTCTCTCTCTCTCTCTCTCTCTCTCTCCTCAAGCAATAACCGCATCATTATTTATAATTTACAACAAAAACAAAAAAAATATAAATAAATAAAATCAAATATTATATAATAGTTATATAAATTTTTAACAAAAAAAAATATTTTATGTAAAAATTATTCGTTTTTATCTATAATAATAATATTAATAATATTTATTTATTTTAATTTATCAAAAATATATATATATTAGTTATTGAATAATTGTTGTGCAATGCTATTACCTTTTATTTTATTATTTATTTTTCTATGATTTTATTTATACTATTTTTTTATATCTATCAATATATATAATTTTATGTGTAGTTTATTTAAATTATGTTTGAAATTTAAAATTGTGATTTTTATTTAAAAAGTTTTCATTGATTTTTGTTGTTGTTTTATATATATAACATAAATAGACATTTAAAGATTTTGATATAATATTATATACAGTATATACTGTACTAATAGATATATTGCCTAATAAATATATATTTATATATTTTATTGGAAATTGTAAAACATATTTTAGTAAATGTTTTTTATTTAAAATTTATATATATATATATATTTATTTATAGAAATATCAATTAGAAAAAATATTTTTAAAAAAGCGAAAAAATATTTCAATTTCTATCAAAAACAAAAAATAAATAAATTTTTTTAGTATTAAATTTAAGTAATAGATATATATTTAATAGTATTTTTTGCAAAAACATATATAAATTAAATTATCTATAAAAAAAATTTCTATTATAAATATAATTTATATACAGGTAATAATAATAATAAATGCTTTTATTAATGATTATTATATTTATATAATTTATAGATTTATAGATTGATCTTTATAAACACGATTAAATTTTTAATGTAAAAAAATAAATTAAATATATATATATATATATATATATATATATGTGTTAGATATAGATAAGTTATAAAGGTTTATCTATATAGCCTACAATTTATATATATATATATATACAGTATATGTATTACGAGAGTTAATATTAATTTATTGATAATATATATTTAATAAGTAGAAAACCTTTTTTGTATTAATACTAAAACATTAAATCAATATATAATAGTAAATGTATTGCAATTTGTAATCGTTTTGACTCATTGACTCCGACTCTATAACATAGTAGACACATAAATATCGATATATTTTTGCACAAAATTGAAAAAATCTTTCGGTTTTCTCTCTCTCTCTCTCTCTCTCTCTCTCTCTCTCTCTCTCTCTCTCTCTCTCTCTCTCTTTCTCTCAATCTTTATATGACTTTAACTTATTTATCCAAAAAAAATACATAATAATAATCTTCTTATACTTTCACCCATATTATCCTTTTAATATCTATATATGTATGTAATATATTTTCATTTTGCTCTCTCTCTCTCTCACTCTCCAAGTTTTTTACCCTCCAGTGGACTCAATCTTATTTAGTTTATGGCACATACATACATACACACACACATACACACACATACATACATACACACACATACACACACACATACATACATACACACACACACACATACATACATACACACATACATATATACATACACACACACACACACATACACACACATACATACATACACACACATACACACACACATACATACATACACACACACACATACATACATACACACATACATACATACATACACACATACATACTTACACACACACACACACATACTCATACATACATACACACACACATACATACATACAAACATAAATACAAACATAATGTGAGTTAAAACTATTGGATGTTTGTAAAAGACTAAGTACTGTACTATACTTTCCCAATAAATATATTACACTTCATATAGATATATAAATATAAGTTATATATATATACTGTATGTATACTATATTTGTCTTTATTTTTATTTTATTTTGTTTTGAGTCTGAATTATGATGTCCTTCTCTGAGAGAAACAAAATAATATAATATATATATATATTAATAAAAACAAAAACAATACCCACAAAAAAAACTTCACTATCTATCTTAACATTTACATCAACTGTACATAAAATATATGATAAATATATTGAGATATATATAGAAATTTATATCTCAATTGTTTATATAGGTTTATACTGAGGAGTATATCTTTTTCCCCCATTTTTTCCATATATTTTCTCACTTTATTTTTAAGGGTTTAAATAATAAAAATAAAAAAATTTTATTATATATACACTCATATACTACAATCAGTTATTGTAACAGTTATTGTTATTTTTATTGATATTACCACCAATTTTGTTACATATATTTATGTTGTACTGTATATATATATATATACTGGTAATGTTTGATAAAACATTAAACACTATACTGTGTAGTACTTATATAATACAATTATCTATATATATACCGTATATATATACATTACTATACAAAATCAATTTTTTGTTGTTTAGCTATATTATAACTATAAACATAATAAAAATCACTATTAATTATGCATAAAAATTAGATAATTATTTATTACAGTGTAATCCTATGTTGAAAAAAATAATGATTAAACAAAAAAAAAATTAATTTTCCAGTGTTTCCAGTCATTTGATTACATTATAGTTAGTTATAGGCTATAGATATTACTTACTGTATATTTAATAAGAAACTCAAAAATTTCATTATATATATCATTATATTTTTTTTTCTTAAATATTTATCAAAAAAATACCTAAACTTATTGCCTCTTATATAACAAAATTTTTTATCACTGGCTCTGTCTCTACTAAATGCATAATATTAATAATAATAAAAATAATTATTAATTATTAAAATATTATTGAACCATATATAATGTTCAACAACAACAAAATTATGTCAAAATATTTTTTTATGTTTTTTTACTGTATATATATATATATACCAAACAAGTATGTAATGTTTATGTCAAACATGCACACAAAAAATTAAATGCAAAACATAACATACAGTTTACTATAATATTATATATATATATATGTAATATATTTATAATATGTTAGTCAAGAATCTAATTAAAATTCTCTCTTTATCTCTCTCTCTCTAACTTTCATTTAATACTTTTTAATAATAATAATAATAATAATAATAATTTGGTTGTATATTATAGTTATAATTTGTTATGTTAATTAAATTTTTTGGAGAAAGAAAAAAATATATCTAACATAAAATTATTATTTTTTATTTTTTTTCACTTAACTTTGTTTTATACTGATATATACTGTATATAATGTACTATATATTGTATACACATATATTAATTTAGTTTTTAGTAGTAGTGGTAGTAGTTGTAGTGTAACTAACCAACAAAAAAATCAAAAGCAATGTTATTTGTTATTAATGAATGTAGTAGTAGTGGTAATATAGTAGTAGTAATTGTATGCAATGTAATATTGTTTGATAATATTTAAGGTATCTATTTAATACTTTTTATATAATAATGTTTTATATATATACACAGTATATACAGTGTATATGAAATGATTTAATGGTTTAGATGAAATAATATATTTAATATGATATATACATAAAAATAGTAAGTTATTATTCAAGTGAGTGAAAAATTTAAATATATATTTAGTTATTCAATATATTGTATATAAAATTGATTTAAACTATTTATTTATTTATTTATTTTTTTGGAAAAAAATCAAACAATTTTCATTTGACACAATCATATCTATTATATTTAAATGATCCGAAAAAAACGATCATAACTTTTGTTATATATATATATATTATTTATTTATATTTAAATTTTTTAAATATAGCATAATAGCAGATTGATTTTTTTTATTACTATATATAAAATTGTTTACCCATAAAAAAATATATCAAAACAAAACAAAACAATAAATAAATAATTTATTTTATATAATATAAAATATTTGATAATAATTTTTATATAATAATAATAATATATATTTATGTAAATTATGTCATCTCTCTATATACAGTATTTATATTTTAAAAAATATTTTTGCATTAAATTTTGTATTTAATTTACGTTAATATAAATCAGCAAAAAAAATATTTGTCACTAATTATTATTTTTGTAAATTATTTTTATTAGAAAATATTTTTCATAACTAATATTATTATTATTATTATTATTAGATATTTTTATTTTTATATAAACTGTCAGTATATGTCACTTTATATATATAATATATATTTATAAACTAATTTTATCATTTTTATTATAATTTTAATTGCATTTTCTATACATTCAAAATATTATAGTAATTTAAAGTTTATTTTATATTAAATATATTATAAAAAATTTCTTCAATAATTAATTTTGTTTTAATTAAACTAATTTAATAAATCAACAACAAAAAATATTTGTAGTTTATTTTATATATAATATTTTAATATATTTTTTAAAATCATAATTGTAGTATTGTAATCAATATTTATATTTTTAAAAAAAAACTTTTTAAAAAATTTACAGTTAATTACAATATAAGTGATTATCAAATATTCTTTATATTATACTTATAGTTATATATGATATAAAAATTATTATAATTTATTTTTTGTTTGTTTATTATTTATTAAAATAAATTAATCAAAAAACATGTATGTGTGTATGACAATCAATATATGTCAATAATATTATATTATCATATATTATATGGTAATGTATATAAGCTATATATATCATATATAAGATTATATATATATAGATATAAATATATAAAACTACTGTAGTTTTATACCATATGGTGCACTCATTTAACGATCCAAACCAACACATTATCATCACTTTTGATTGTACTGTAGATTTTGAATTGAATATATTATTTAAATAAATAATACCAAACCATACCATACCATACTATGGCCGGGTATGTACTGTATGTGTGTGTTTTGGATATATTTATAATAGTAGTCCACCCAAAATATATATATATATATATATATATAATATTAATAATACTATAGTATAGCTCATACCTAGATCTGTATGTTTGTTAATGTTTGGACCAATATGTATGAGTTAGTGAGTGAGTGGGTGAGTGGGTGAGTGAGTGAGAGAGCCATAGTAAAAATGTTGCTTAAGTAGATTACCAAATAAATGGAGCAAATGATGTGCAAATGTTTTTTAAACGATTTGCAAACATACATACATATACTTTACTGTATATATATATATATATATACCTTAATGGTAAAGTCGATACTGTAGTTTTAATAGTGTATACCTATACACATGCACACACATACATACACACATTCACACACATACACATACACATACATACACACACACATACATATATACACACACATACATACACACACATATACATACACACATACATACATATACACACATTCACACACATACACATACACATACATACACACACACATACATATATACACACACATACATACACACACATATACATACACACATACATACATATACACACATTCACATACATACACACACATACATACACACACACATACAAATACATATACATACAAACACATACACAAACATTCATACATACACACTATTACTTTATTTAATATTAACACATTAAGTACTTGAATATATAATATATATATATATATATATATATAGAGTATATATATATATATAAATAGCAAAACAAACAATTTATTTTGTAAAAATTTTTAGTTGGGTAATTTTTACTTTATAAATTAAAATTGTTGTTAAGTAATTTGTATATCAATTAAAATGTTTTTTTTAAATAATTTAATCTGACTATGCTTATTTGTTAGTAATCTTTAATTTATATATATATATATATTTATATAGTTAACAACAAATTAGTTATTATTATAATCCTAATTTAGTATATAATTTTGTATTCAAAAATTACTAATTAATATAATATAATATAATTTCAAATGTAGACTAAAATTTTTGTACTAAAATTTATTTATGATAATATAGCAAATTATTTATGTTAATCTCTAAAATATATTATTATTATTATTATTATTATTATTAAAGCTTTAATTTAATAATTACTTTTTAAATATACTGTTCAAATAAATAAACTAAACTATAATATAATTTGATACAAAATTATTATTATTATTATTATTATTGAATTTTTTTGTTAGTTATCTTGATTATTATTTGATTAGCATATGTTTTGTTATTACTATTTTAGTTAATGCAATATACTATAATAATAATAATACTAATGTAAAAATAATTGTTTTATTTTGTTATAAGTTATATATATATATACCGTATATAACTGTATATAACTTTTATATATAACATATATATATATATATTTAACTAACTTATGTTGTTTTGTTGTCATCAACTTATGTGATGGCAAACAAAACAATACAAACAAAAACAAAAAACAATTGCCAACAATAAACGTGATGTGAAATATTTGATTATTATTAAGTTTTTTTTTATATATATATTTAGTTTTGTTTTTGTTGTTGTTGTATATAAAAAAATGCAATTTATTTAATTTTTTTTTGTTATTGGGTACCAGATAACAAAATTTATCATTATTATTATATTAACATATAAATTTTGCTATATAATTATCATTAAATTATATATAATATATTAGATTTTTTTTTAAATACTGTATATATTTTTTTGTTTTTGTTGACACTTAATTAGTAATAAATTATTTTTGTTTTAATTTTTCTAATTTAACTAGATACTTTTTTTTCTATCTATTGTGATTGCCAGTAATAATATGTTGAGTATATATATATATATATAAATATATTATTAATAGATTTTATAAATATGTTTATTATTATAATTATTATTATTATAACAAATAAAACATACAAAAAAAAATTACTGTTGATTTCGTTGACAAATAATTTTTATTTTCAAAAATATATATATATACTATATATCAACAAAACTATAGACAAAAAAAATATCATTGAAAAACAATACACGACGACATCAACAAATACATGATTGACATAATAGTCTCTCTCTCTCTCTTTCTCTCTCTCTCTCTCTCTCTCTCTCTCTCTCTCTTTCTCTCACTCACTCACTCACTAATACTAAATAATGTTGTTTAGTATAGTAATAAGTATAGTTGAATTGTTTTTACGACTATTTTTTTATTTTATTTTATTTGTTTAAAAATACTAGTTTAACCCGCGCAACGTCTATAGCCGTGCAATTCTTTTACTAATTTTAAAATATTCATCATAAGTAGTTTGAATGAGACTTAATTTGTTTATACAACTACTACATAACCTAATGTAACAAAACTACTGAACCATTAGACATTGTTTGGTCTAAACATTTGAGAATTTTTAGTTTTTATATAAATTTAAATAATTTTAATAAAAATTGAAAATTTAATCGTTTTTGCATTTGAGAAAATTTTACAAAAATTTAGCACAGGTAGCTTACCTCCCGGTGCCCTAAGACTCACACAATATAGCAAAGTGTAATTACACAACACCTGCCTACCTGTCCTTAAAACCTACCAGTGCTAAATAAACATTTAAAATTTCCCATAGAAATAACATTGCTTTCAATAAAAATTGAAAATTTTCACACAAATTGGAAATTTTTGCATTTGAGGAAATTTTACAAAAATTTAGCACAGGTAGCTAACCTCCCGGTGCCGTGTGACTTATAGAATATAGCAATATGTTATTACACAGCATCTGCCTACCTATCCCTAAAACCTACCTGAGCTCAATAATCATTTAAAATTTACAATAGAAATAACATTACTTTAAATAATAATTGAAAATATAACAATACATTTTTAGATTTGAATTAAAATAAGGTTGTTGATGAAATCTGCACGCATACAAACAGAACTATTATCTTAAAGTGTTATATTGATATATATATAACAATAGTTATCTATTTTGATTTACTATATATTTAATATCATATATATAATATATTGTCTAAACTTCAAACAATCAATTGTTTTTATTTTTTATTTTTTTCATATATTTTTTGTAAACTTTATATATATATATAGATAATATTATATTGATATAACTTATATATATATAGATATATATATACTGTAATATATTGAACAATATATAACTTATGGCCAAAGATATTGAAAGACAATTACAAACGAAATTTTTTAAGACGTGATACTAATGTTAAACAACAATACACTTAAAGTGATGTTGTATTTAATGTTTATGTTCTCTCTCTCTCTCTCTCTCTCTCTCTCTCTCTCTCTCTCTCTCTCTCTCTCTCTCTCTCTCTCTCTCTCTCTCTCTATAAACGATTAAATATAAATACATGTCATTTCAGTAGTAGTAGTAGTAGTAGTAGTAGTAGTAGTAGTAGTAGTAGTAGTAGTAGTGATGGCCATTGATAAAGCATTTCAAACATAAACACACACATGAAATACAACTTTTATAATACAATTACGATATCATATATCGTATATACAGTATATATATATATATACAGTATAAATAAGTTTTTATTGTTATATATATTATAGATCTATATATATATAAAATTAATGTTTTATTTTATAAAATGTTTGCTAAAATAATAATAATAATAATAATATTTTTCTCTCTGTGTGTGTGTGTGTTTTGTATCAATCATTTTGTTTGATTTTAACTGCTTTTATTGATATATATTTATATATATTATATATAAGTTATATACAGTATATTGTTATAGTGTATATATTGTATGTCTTTTAATATATTTATTTATTTAATTTTTGTTTTTATATTTTTACTTTTAATATCTATTAGGATGGATATGATCGGCGACTACTACTACTAACTAACTAAACAACACAATTGGATTCAATTATTGATTATTAAGTATATATATATATATTAAAAATATATTTATATATATATAAAGTGTGTGACATCTCTCTATCTCTATGTTATGATTGTTAAGTAAAAAAATAATAATTAAAGGAGACATTAAAATAATAAAAAAAAACAACAATAATATATACAATAATAATAATAATGTGAAAGTGTATGCAATTTGTTGTGTGTGTGTGTCTAACAAAACAATTGATACAAACAAACAAAAACAACAACAAAAAAGTTAATACCATTTTTTCCGGTTATTTCTAATAATAATAATAATAATAATATTAATAAAATGATGACTAAATTAAAGTCAATTGGCTTACAATTATTGTTATACTATTGGACATGGAGTTTGATAGACATAATACCCATTCATATCACACAATCAGGTATGTCATACACACTATTGTTTGATAATAATAATAAATAATACAAAAAATTAATATATATTTTATTATTTTTCTTATTATTAATAATAATAATACTCTTAATACCTAAATATATATCACCTATACTTTAGCTTAATTTATAGATTTTTTTTATATTTATTAATATGAAATATAAATTTTATTTTTTTTCTAATCCCTATCTATTATGGTTTCTATAATAAGTTATAGTGTGTTAACATAAAAATTAATTTTTTTTATAAATATATATATTATATATATATATATAGAAAATTTGAAGCACTTTTCATTGTTAATATTTTATTATTATTATTATTAATATTATCGACTTTTTTTTGATTTAAAATTTTTAGTTATATTTTTTTATTATAACAAAAAAATTAATATTTGTTTCTACAAAACATTTATTTTATTTTAAATTTATATTAATATATATATATATATCTTTCTAATTTTCATGCAATTGATTTTACATTTTTAAAAAATTTATTTCATAATATTTATATATTGTATATATTATATATTCAGAGTTTATATTATATATGTATAATATCTCTAATAAATATAAGTAACAAAAAGATATATATATATATATATTATAAAATAAAATATGTTGACTGTCTTACACACTAAGTATTTGCAAAACTATTATCTCTCTCTCTCTCTCTCTCTCTCTTTCTTTCTCTTAAATTTTGTGATTATTATTATTATTGAATATTTTTTCTTAAATAAAAAAAAGTAAAAATATATATACAGTACAATACTATATAAGATACTATAAAAAAAATAAAAAAATTTTAAAGATATATTTTTTTCAATAAAAATATATAAGACTCTCTTTTTCTCTCTCTTTCTTTCTCTCTCTCTCTCTCTCTCTCTTAAAATGAAATATAATATTTTGATTTATGGCATTTTAAAGTTGAAATATCGAAACATAGGCACTGAAAGACATAAATAATAAGTCAATGGTTTGGCATACAGTTTGAGGGATATAGTAAAAAATAAAGTCAGAGATATACTGTATATAACTTATAAGTAGTTTTTATATATATATACAGTATATATATATATATTTCTCTTTGCTTTTTATTTTTTTAAATTTTATTTTAAAGGCATATAATTTATATTATATAATATATAAATTGTATATAAAGTTGTGTGATTTTACATTCATATATATGATTAGCTCTCTCTCTCTCTCTCTCTCTCTCTCTCTCTCTCTCTCTCTCTCTCTCTCTATTTTTGGAAGTAAATCAAAAAAAATATATATATTGAATATACAGTATATTTTATTATCATTTTTTATATATATATATATATATAAAGTATATAACCTTTTTTATTTTGTTGGTGAACCCATTGAAAACATTTTTGAATATTTGCATTTAACATGAAATTGTTATTTGAATACAATATATTGTATATACAGTATATATATTATATACTACTGTATTATTATTACTACTATAGGAGATGATTCAAATGACAGCAATTTATTTATAAAAATATATATTATATATATAAAAATAGGAAACGCTTATTGAATGTGTTGTGCATTTGAAATGGCTATTAAACAGATTAATATATCCTTAATATATATAGATATATATATATATAAATAATTTTATACATTATATATATAAATAATGTATAAAATAGTTTTTTATTATAGAATATAAATATATATATAGAATATTCTACATATACTATATATATATATAAAACTTTTATTTTATATTTAATATATTTTTATATATATTATTTATTTTGGATACAATTTATTGATTAGTTAGTTATGATGTTTAATAGACAATATTTTTGTTGTTGATTTTTTTGTTGATAATGTTGTTGTTGTTGTTGTTGTTGTTGTTTGATATTGTGATGCATTTAATACTAATACTATTTTTTAGTGTCTATTTCAACAACAAAAATCTAATAATGAGTAATAATAATAATAATAATACTGTAATATATTTGAAGTTGAAATTTTGAAACTATACTTAACTTGTATTTAATATTAATATAAATATATATATATATATATATATATATATATATATATATATATATTGTTAGTTTAGTTCATTTAATCACTGATTTATAGTATTAAGTATTATATGTATTATTATTATTATTTGTTTTTTTTGACTTTGCCTTTTAAATATTGTATAGTTTTTATATTATATATAATAATATTTTTTAATGCCTATTTAAGAATTCAATTATATATATAATATTATGTTTTATAGCCAAAAAAAAATATATATATATATAATATATAGATATTCTGTATATATATATATATACAGAATATCTATAATAAACTCCATAATAATAATAATACTGTAATAAACAGTAATAATGTAATACTTTTTTTTTGTTGTGCAATATTTAGTGAATATAATATATAAATAACTTATATTTTTTATTATATAATTTTTTTTGAGAGAGAGAGAGAGAGACGACCTATAGTTAGATACAAACAAAACAAACTAAAAGTATAGTTAAAGCCATTGAAAAACTCTTTATTTATTATTATTATCCCTTTTGTCTCTCATATATATATTTTTTTCGCTCCACTTTTACTTTTCATTGTTATTATAATTTAGTTTTTATTTTCATATATTATATTATATTAAATAAAATCAATAAATCTCAATCTCAATGTCTCATTTTTCCCATTACACACACACACACACTATTGTCTTTTACTTTCATTGAGTAAAGTAAAAAAACACACACACAACTTATTACATACACATACACACATACACACATACACACATACACACATACACACATACACACATACACACATACACACATACACACATACACACATACACACATACACACATACACACATACACACATACACACATACACACATACACACATACACACATACACACATACACACATACACACATACACACATACACACATACACACATACACACATACACACATACACACATACACACATACACACATACACACATACACACATACACACATACACACATACACACATACACACATACACACATACACACATACACACATACACACATACACACATACACACATACACACATACACACATACACACATACACACATACACACATACACACATACACACATACACACATACACACATACACACATACACACATACACACATACACACATACACACATACACATACACATACACATACACATACACATACACATACACATACACATACATACTTATACACTAAAAATAGTCTACATTTAAAGTACAATATATTATATATACTGTATAATACAAACCTTTCTCTCTCTCTCTCTCTCTCTCTCTCTCTCTCTCTCTCTCTCTCTCTCAATGAGTGAGAGACTAATAAAAGATAGACTTAAATTACTGGTATATATATATACAGTATAGACAGAGACAGTATTATAGATATGTGTAGTGATAGGGACTGTTAGGTTATTTTTTTTGCTTCATCTTACTCAAGCTTCTCCTGTACTTTTAATCAATGGCTATCAATATATATACTGTATATATATATATAGTGTACAGTAGTATAAAGTGATATAAAAGATTTTGATGATGATTATTATAGTGCAGTTAAATCACTATTGAATGTCTAGAAAGAGAGAAAGAGAGAGAGAGAGAGAGAGAGAGAGAGAGAGAGAGAGAGAGAGAGAGAGAGAGAGAGAGAGAGATCTAATTGATCCCTTATATACAACATGTGTGTGTGTGTGTGTGTGTGTGTGTGTGTGTGTGTCTATAACTATGTGTATATACTATACATGTCTATACATCTAATACATATATACAATATATTATATATATATACAGTATATCTTCCCCGATAAGTCTTTTCTTGTCAATTATGCATTAGCTTTACTTTTGGGGTTAATTTTTATCTAATCCCTATCCATATCAATCAATTTTATGTTTTTTTTGGTGTGTATATTGTGTTATTGTTATCTCTCTCTCTCTCTCTCTCTCTCTCTCTCTCTCTCTCTCTTTACATATACTATACACACTTATATACACACATATCATTGTTATCATAGTTTTTAATGTACTCTATATTATATATCTATATATTGTATATATTGATATTTATAACAAAATTTTTTTTTTATCTATAATATACTATATATATATGCCTATCAGCTCCTATCTATCCAATCGCTTATAGCTATCTTTAATATCACTTAACTGTCAAATATTATTATTATTTGTGAACATTAAATATTAAATTTATATATAAGTATATATAAATATTTTATTATTATTTTTTATTTAAAAAAAGAGATAATTTAAATTGTTTTAAAATTGTAAACTATATACTAGAGTACTGTATATTAATATATAAGTTAAGTAACAAAAATACATTTTATCCCTTTAAGTAATATTATATACGATATATACTGTATATATTGATAGCAGTGATAAATAACAAGATTTTTTTATATATATATATATATATATACAGTATATTGACATAAATTGACAACTGGTGTTAAAAAATAATAATATATATATATATATTGTATTTAATATATAAAACAAATGTATAGACTTTTTTTTATATAAAAAAAATAAAGTATATAACTAACAATAATAACATAAACTAAATAACAAAAATTTATAGACACTATTAGCAATACTATTATTATTATTATTTACACTTATATAATATATGATATATATATATATATATATATATATATAACTGATAGACAGTTCATTTAAAGCCATCATAAATATTGTGTGCATTTATTTTATATATATATATATATATTTTTTTTACTCAAAAGTATTAGTATTAGTTTAGTTTGTTTTGTTTTGTTTGCTTCTCATAATACTGTATTTTTTGACAAAACCTCTGGCGATATATATATACAGTATATATATATATATATATATATATATATATATATATATATATATATATAAGAATTATGGATAAAACATAAC